AGACAGACAGACAGACAGACAGACAGACAGACAGACAGACAGACAGACAGACAGAGATATTCACAAGCAAACACTAACATCAACACACATCCACAAGTACAATTATGAACAAAGCACTTGTTCACAGCACGATAATGAACAGGTAAAGACAGGTAAGCCAAAGTCAACGAGAATCTAAAAGCGATGTCCTTCTTTGCTGATAACGGCATGTTAACAGCTGTTCTGTCGAAGACGGCTGCTTCTAATCACAAGCAGCGCTTTGTAGACCTTCTATTCCAGTTTGTCAGAACAAATCAACGAGACGTTGTTCGTTCCGTGAAATTGGCAACTCTTAGAATAACCACCCCAGCTTAAGAGACAAATTACCGTTTCTTGGACATAAAGAAAGAAAGCTTATTCTCTTTCAGAAAACAGCAGCGAGAAAATACATAAAGTGCCAAGACTCAGACTGGCATTATTCCTCCTAGATTTGACTTACAAGGGCTTATGTTACAAGTATGTCCACCTTCTTATCAAAAGTCATTATTTATGTACTTGTGTATCAAGACGTGGGTAGAAGTACTACTCACTGACTTACCTATGCAGCACAGGAAACACGACATTGTTGGAGATGTATACTTCTCAGCCCTTGTACTTGTACTATCCAAATCAGACTCCGGCGAGAAAGAGGAAACTAGAAACACGCGAACACACAAACACACACGCGCGCGCACACACACAATGTTGACGTCAGAAGTCCGGAACTACGGTGCAGGTGCCCGCCTCTGTCTCTCTACATTCCTGGGAGAAAAACTGTACCACGTGACCACTGAGTTAGTGACGTCGTCTGCAGAGGACAACCGTTTTGTCTCTGGCGTCTGGAGCTACAATCGCACGTCCATCTGTCTGTTTCCCAGGCGGGCGGGGAAAACCTGGTGGAGAGAGCCTCTCATGGTCCCTGCGGACAAGATAACGCATTGAAATAAATAAACATTATGGTTTGGCACGACAAGACAGTTGGCAAGGCAGGAGCAACAACACCAACAAAAGCAAAAGCAAAAACAGCAGTAGTAGAACAGCAGCGGTATAGGCAAGAGCAGCAGCAGCAGCAGGAGGAGGAGGAGGAGGAGCAGCAGCAGCAGCAGCAGCCTCCAGCATGTCCAGTCCTGGTCAACAACAGCAACAACAACAACAACAGCAGCAGCAGCAGCAGCAGCAGCTGCAGGAGCAGCAACAGTAGCAAAAGTAAAGGCAACAACAAGGAAATGATAAAGGCATCTATCTATCTATCTATCTATCTATCTATCTATCTATCTATCTATCTATCTATCTATCTATCTATCTATCTATCTATCTATCTATCTATCTATCTATCAATCAATCAATCAATCTATCTATCTATCTATCTATCTAAATATCTATCTATCTATCTTTCTCAACCAAAGCCATGCTCCTCTATCCACGCCGCTGACAATCTACAACAAGCGTACATCAAACCCCGCACTGTAAAAAGAAACTGAGGACAAGAGGGAAGTCAATACAACTCAATTATGACAGAACCGCGGTTGGTTCGTGACACGATCAAAGGAAAGCTATGTTCTAATTTTTGCTGTTACATCGATTTAACTTTGGGACTAAACTAGCTCAATTTGTCCGGAAAATTATGATGCTACATGGTAATTATACTGGACAACCACAACTTAAGTAAGAACTGATTAAACTCTTATCAGCAGCATGGCAAGAATTCGAGAGACTACTTAGTCTACTTTTAGATTATTGATTCACCGGTCAAATAGCGGTCTTGAGAGTAAAACACGATAATGACGCTACTTTCGCCTTCTATTTGCGGGAAAAAAATTGACGTCATTCACAATACTAAACCGACTACTGTTTCTGAGTGGGTGATTTATGTATGTACGTGTAAAGATATACATATGGGTTGATTTGTTTACACGATATAAATGCAATATGAAAAAATACCCACTTTACCCTATCCGTACTCCCTGGGGTCATTTTGTACCCCCGGGGTTGTATTCTTCACATTTTAGAATACTTCTAGTGCAAAGATCTCTTTAAAACTTTCAGTTTTTCTCCAAAAAAATCATTTTGACAGATTGTTATGCAAAGCATACGGATAGGATTAACGAGTAATTTCCTCTTTTAAAGTGGTGGCACAGACTTCCCCATGTCGTATGGATGCGATAGTAAAACACGACGTACGGATAGGGTTAAACACACTCACACACACACACACACACACACA